CCTGCTCCAATGTGAATTCCAGCCTTGTTCTTGAAAACTCTTAACTGCCCATTTTACCTGTCCTTCCGTACTGAAATGGACCGCTCACTGTGAAGGGCAGGGAATTATGTCCCCTCCCTGTTCCCCTCTGCCTTACTCAGACGTAGTTTTCCCTAACAATCTCTCCCTTTTTAAAAACTGACATCATCTGTCCACGTCATCTCCAGCACTTGACCCCGACTTCCCCTTCTCTCTATCCTGAGGTCTCTGATGCCACCCTTTCGTTTTCCCATCTCCCACCAATCACCTCGTTACTTCTTCTCACATTCTGATCTCAGGGTTCCTCAGCATGTCAACACTTCAAAAACACATATTCCTCCTCCACTGAAGTTGTCCGCAAGCTCAGCCATGCCTGATGGTCTTACAGAAGTTCCCCAGCCCCAGTTCCACAGGCCCTTTTCTCTCTATCCTCTCACCAAATCTGTTCATCTTCGTCGGTGGAACTCACAGTCCCCTGAGCGCTCTCAGCCTCACAGTCCATCAGCCACTCCATCTTCACTTCCTTCCCACCCTGAAAAGGTTGCAGGCTCCTTGCCTATTAATCTTGACCCCCTTCCCCTCGTGTCCACCCAGCATGTCCACGGAAGCCAACCCCAAGCCCAAAGAAGACCACGGCAGGCATCTGCCTTCTCTGCTCCTATTCCTTGGTGCTGGGGTTTACTACGGACAAGACGGGAAGGGTAGCAGAGGTGATGGTGCATCTTCTGAGCGTGTCTGGTACCAACACTGTCCTGCTCCGCATACATTATCTTAAACGCAAATCAACCTATTCAGTTATGTCCCATTGGGTTTTCTGCACCACTGAGTAACCATTATGTCCATCTTTAATTGACCTTTATCATAGTCCTTACAGGAATTATTTCAAAGATTAAACACTTCCCTAGAGTCCACAGCCCTCTTCCAACTCTAAGACCACCCTGCTTTGCTTGTTAGAAAAATTAAAAACTTATTATCCCTCCTCTCCACTCTCAAATTTTCTGTGTATTTTTCATCTGACATCTGTGTCTTTCCCAACATAGAGAGAGGTTCTCTCTCTCTAAGGTCAACCCTTACCTTAGGCCCTCTTGCTTCCTCCTCTTTTACCTCCTCTCTCTTCTATCTTCAATGTCTCCTCTACGTAAGAGCCTTTGTAGACACCTGTCCACGTCTTCCCATTCTTTATGAATCTGCCTTCTTCCCTTGCAGCATCCTCAAACCACCAACTCCCCCCTTTCCTGGGGAAAGTCCTAAAAGACAGACCCTCCCCTGCCTCTGCAGGAACAGCAAGACAGCTTTCCCTGCAGGGCAGAAGTTTCACTGCTTCAGATCAGCTCGCAAAACCAAACCAGGCACTCCAGCTAGGGCACCCAGGACTGTTTGGACCACTGAGGAAACTCTACTTTAGGTGGAAATCTAGAAGTTTTGTGTGGTAGCTCCTACTTGGAAGTACTTGGCATTGCATTTCACAGGATACTGAAGAGGGAGGAGTCTTTGATTCCCTTCTGTCCCTCAGTGTCTTGCAGTTCCCATTTAATTGAAGTGTAAACAAGGGGAAGGACACAGGCCCAGTTCCTAATCTCCCTCAACCAATCCAACCCTAGATCATGATAATACCATTACCTTATTTGCTTCCACCACTCTGTACTGCTATGATCTATTTGCTCCTCTCCCTGGCTCCAGCCTCACCCTGCTCCACACTGCAGTCAGGACAACTTTTCTGGAATACAGCCTTGATTGAAATCCTTTAGTGGCTCCTAGTTTTCTAGAGAACAAAACCCCAGTTCTATAGGCCCCTTATGACCTGGTATCTGCCTGTGTTTTCTCTCCTACCTGTCCCATACTGAGTCACAGCCACGACAAGTAATTGTTCACCAAATTCCCCGAGCTCCCTAGCCCCTGTGCCTTTGTCCCATGCTCACTGCTCACTCTTGTCCCTCCACCTGGAATAACCCCTTCCCCAAGTATCTTCTACAGATTCGTCAGGACAATTTAGGAATCATCCTCCCAGGGCCAGCACTGTGGTGTAACAGGTAAAGCCACCACCTACAGTGCCAGCATCCCATATGGCCGCCGGTTTGAGTCCTGGGTGTTCTACTTCCAATCCAGCTGTCTGCTATAGCCTGGGAAAGTAGTAGAAGATGGCCTAAGTCCTTGGGCCCCTGTACCCACGTGGGAGACCCGGGATAAGCTCCTGGCTCCTCAGTTTGGATTGGCTCAACTATGACCGTTGAGGCCAATTGGGAAGTGAACCAGCAGATGGAAGACCCCTCTCACTCTCTTTCCCTCTCTCTTTCTATGCCTCTCCTTCTCTGAGTAACTCTGACTTTCAAATAAATAAATAAATCTTAAAAAAAAATCATCTTCCCACCAGTTCCAAGGGGTCTTCCCCAACCATACCAGCTCCACATTTTTTTGGTACCTTTCCCATGGGCTCTTGGAGGTACCCCAGGCATTCCTTTATCTGGTACTTTTCATGCCTAGCTGTTCTCATCTGATCCTGTCTGTATCACACACCAGGCTACCAGCTCTTTATCAGGAACTGTATCAGATTCACCTTTGTAGTTCCTCTGTAGTGCCTGACACCGAAACACATAAAAACATCTCTTACACGAATAAATTAGATGTTGAATAAAAGATAAAACTAGGTGTTTTTAACATTCACTACCTCAGCTGTTTGTTTTCACAATCTATACAGTAAGTAAAAAGATGACTTTTCACAGATTAAAGGCAAGAGGTAGTTAGCTTTAAAAATAAATAAAAGACTCTACATTAAATAGCCTGTGTATTACTTCCACTACCTATACCTACTGAGGGTTAATTCTGCATCGAGTGCTATTTCAAGCATTTTTACATGTGGACTAATCTAACCCTCAAAACAATCCCTATTTTATAGAAGAAACTTTAGGGCAGAAAAACTACGTAACTTCTCCAGTAAGTAGCTGAGCTGGGATTCAAGCCTGGCAGAGCTGGTAGTTTTACCGACCATACTGTCCCACCTGCTCTGTGGCAGAAGCAACAATGGGTGACTACTTGGTTTTCCTTATCCAGGCACTCTCTCTGTTCTCCACCCTGACTTGGAAACTCACAGCTTGAAATATGCAGACTTTTCAGCATCCAGTGACATCTGAGAGTGTTTCCTGGTGGGCTTAACAAAGCCTACTCCTTGCCAGTTGCCAAGAGGAAGTCATCTTGTGGGACATGTGGCCCGGAGAGTGTCAATTGCATGCATTGTATTTCCTTTGGAATTTTCCTACCACCTAGGGTAGTGGCTGTTTAAAGTTTTGATACCTATTTGTGAAGTTGTATTTTCTTCTTAAATCACTGTTCAAAGAAACACAACAACTGAGGGACATTCAAGATGATCAGGATCCTGTGAGAAGCCTTTGCCACCCTACCAGGCTTTTGACATCAAAAGGGTTCAGAAAGATAAAGAGAAATTAGAGGAAGAGAGTGAGAGCTCATGGAGTGTAATTTGCTGCAGAGAAAGGAGACAAATTTTATAAAAAGGACACAGACTTGGTCAGGCAAAGGTACAAAACTGGCTAACTTTGAGGAGTAGGTCTCAGGAATCCCCCTGCAGCACATCTCAGAGCGGCGAGAGGAGCTCAACCTGAGTGCTGAGTCTGGTTATGGCTCGGCCTTTGTTTCCTTGCTTGTTCATTTTGGGTGGTGGTGCTGGGTGTCTGTGTTTGGAGGTGGGTGGCAGGGGGCAGTGGCTGGTGCACAGGAACGAAAGCAGGGAAGGAAAAGCAATTTCAGTCCCTGAGGTTTAACCGCAAGTTCCTAGTCTTCACAAAAAAAAAAAAAAAAAAAGAAAGAAAAGAAAAGAAAAAAGAAAGAAAGAAAGAGAGAGAGAAAAGAAAAAAAAGAAAAGAAAAAGAAAGAGAGTCACACGAATCTGTCTGTATTTCTCTACCCTGTAAGCAAGCCATGGAAACAGAAATGGTAGCATAAAGGGGGAAACAGCAGGACATCATTTGTTTTGAGCTGGGCCAAAGGTATCCTGGTGGGGGAAAAAAAATCAGCAAAATAAAGTAACCTTGAAACTGTGCTTCCAGCTCCTCCAGTTCTGCTGCCAATGTTTGGCTTTTTGATTTGTTAACAGTTTCCTGTAGAATCCATAAATATTTCCAGAACTTGTGATTTAGGATATTTTATTTTCTTCGCTTCCACTACTTCGAGAATGTTCTTTTCATAATAACGGACTAGGGCTTATCTTCATCCTGGCTGGTTTTATAAAACCAAATAATTGCTGAGCAGAGGCAGTGCCTCTAGTTGCATTTAATTTTTATTTTAAAGAGAAATCCTGCCACCGTCTGGACAGCAACTGTAGATCTGCTTTTTAAGAGAGTCACCATGGAACACTGTTGAAAGCAGCTGACCCTGAAAACAAGCAATCTTTAAGACACCTGCCCACTATCAAGATGGGGCCGGTTGCTTTACATGATGTAGATGATATCTAATGCTGAACTGCCTCTAAGGCTTCTTTTTAACTGAGGAGGAATTGGTCTCAGAGCACATGAAAGAAAAAGCCCCCAGTGCTTAATGTGTAATCTTCCCAAATCACTTTACAGCCTTCATTTCCAGTCTCTCTGGTCTGCAATGGCCAACTAAAGATTTTTCACACAATCTCAGCCATGGCTGCTTTCACACAGTTACCTTTATTGGTTTTAAAAAAAAATCTACATTTAGATAAATATAAAAATACATTTGTTGGTTTTTAACCAGAGCTAATGGAACAGGAGGCAGAATGAGATTCCAGCCATTTGAGAGAAATTAGCCATCAGAGCACAGACAAGCAGTTTGCTCCGGAAGCCTGCCTCTCATCTGCTGGGCACCTGAGGACTTAATGTCATGTAAATGAAACTCAAAATGCAGGGATGCGGTCATTACCAGAAACAAGGCTGAGCAAATCAAAACACAGGACTGCCATTTTTGTTAGGAACCACAGTGAGAAAGCCCAAAGACACGGAGCACCGTACCTGGTTTTAGCAACGGGGTTTTGATGCTTCTGGTCTTGGAGCACCTTGGCCAGCTGTTTTTGCAGAAACACAACCTTTCCGTGGGCTCCTTTAATGAATGGGTGGTCGAGGAGACAAGTGACGGAAGGCCGCTTTTCAAAATCCTTGATAAGACACCTGTTTGCAAAGATCAACCATCAAGCCCAAGTACAATTTTGGATACTCTGTTCCCCTGGGATTACGGGAGAGAGGCGGCTGGAAGGCTCAAGGGGAAAACCTGATCGTCAACCCTACACAGTTTTCTTCATAATATGTACCAGAAAATAGGAACAACGATTCTATTTTAGTTGAATTGCTGAAATCTGTTTTAGTTTGGTTGAAGCAAATATTGAGAACACAATCAATTTTTACTATCAACTTGATTGGAAGTACTCGAAACACAGAAAATAGACTGGTCAGACTGTTCTGAATTTTCCACACAGCAAATTGTTTTCAATAGAGCCAGGTGGATGAGTCTATATACTTCAGTTTGGAGGCATACAGTGTATTTAAATAGCATCTCAATTAAATACTATTATAGGAAACGCCCATTATTTGGCAGCAGAGAAAATGCATTTAGGAATTTCCAAGGAAAAAACTAATTACAAAGAGAATTTAGCAGCATGATTTCTCCTGTCTTCTTAAAAGCAAAAAAAACCTCAGAACAGGAAGTGACTACAATCTAATTCAGAAGAATTGGAATGGAATTATGCAAACAAGGAACAAAAAAACCCACTCAAAATGGTAAAAGATTAGGTTGCACTTAAACTCCTCTGTGGTTAATTGGTTAAAACCACACCAGCGTAACCACTTTCCATTTCATATTCAATGCTCTTGAAGCAGAAAACAATGAATTAGTACATTTTGCTGTCTGATCCATACTTATTGTTACTAGAGATCTCGGTGTTACTATGGATGATCTTGACACAAGGAACTTTCTAGTGAAACTGGATCTAATGAGCACCCCTCCACTACCACTGCACTTCTAGTGCTGAGCAACTGCAATTGCATCGGCTCACACTGGAGGCTTAGGATAAATACTGGGTGCCACTCTGCCCACTCCAGAAAACAAAGAGTTGAGTTTTCCCAAAGTGGCATGCCAGCAACATATAAAACATATTTTTAATCATTGAAAGGCACTGACAAATGGTAAAAAAAAAAAAAAAAAAAAAAAAAAAAAAAAGTTCGGCCTCACCTTGAGCCTCTTTTCGGAACATTGAAGCAGAAATCCTAAAACAACCTTCAACCATCAATTTACACAAAAAACTTTAACCTTTGCAGTTTCCCCATACCCCTCACCTGCCAGTCCTGAAAGGACGTTCGGCGACTTTCACAGTTAGTCCGTTTTTAGAACTGATTCAGGGGATTCCCTCTCTCTTGGAACTGGAGCTTTCAGCCAGAAAAGCCAACGGAACCTCCACTATCTCTATTCTGCGGCCTGTGAGACTATAAATGCCACCCTGCCTAGCCTTGGAGAGAAATCAATCATCTGGTTCAGGGCCATTTGTTCATCTCCTATTTCTCCTATCAGAAAACACAAAATCGGTGCATGTGCTCGATAAAGATTGCGTCTGGGCCTTTACATCAACGGTCATCCCTTGATTCCACCTATAATCATCTGTATGTGTGACTATCAAAGGAAAATAAATGCAAATAACCATGTTTCCTGAAAAAAGAGGGGGAGGGGCTGGCGCCATGGCGCAGGTTAATCCTCCGCCTGCAGTGCTGGCATCCCATATGGGCACCGGTTCTAGTCCCAGCTGTTCCTCTTCCAATCCAGATCTCTGCTGTGGCCCAGGAGGGCAGTAGAAGATGGCCTGAGTCCTTCGGCCCCTGCACCCACATGGGAGAACGGGAAGAAGATCCTGGCTCCTGGCTTTGGATCGGCACAGCTCCAGCCATTGTAGCCATTTGGAGAGTGAACCAATGGATGGATGACCTTTCTCTCTGTCTCTCCCTCTCACTGTCTGTAACTCTACTTCTCAAATAAATAAATAAAATCTTTAAAAAAAAAAAAAGAAAAAGAGGGGGAACCCGAGAGATAGTTCTATCATCAGTAATTCAGCTGTGTCCAGCCTGGGGCCTCCTGGCTTGAGAGATGGTAGATAAAAACTCCTAAAATAAAAACAGTCTCCATGGCCTTTCAGAATCCCCACTGAAGATGGGCTTGGGACTTTTCACACATACCCTGTGCCCTCAGAGGAAAGGGGTGGGATAGGAGTCCAGGAGCTGATGGATCCACAGCTAAACCTGCCTGGTGACCTTGGGCAAGCCATGTTAGGTCTGTTTCTCGTCACCAAATAGATACATCTGGACCATGGTAGCTACCCAAACCAAAGAGACTTCTTGCTTCCCCGCAAAATATTACACCCTTCTTTCACTGCTATTACTTGTTGAAGCTTCACCTGACAATGGGTAGGTGTTCACTGAAAAAGGATGGGTAAAAGGAGCCATGCTCAGTCACCTATGCATTGATCACTGCTGATATTTCAAATGAGCAAACCCAGGAGGCTGAGGCTAAAGAAGTTTACTAAAAACTTCATAGCATGTGAAAGACAGTGGGCAGGAACTGCCTCTATCCTCTTCCTTGGCTTAGGAGCCATGGAAGTGTTTCAGGCAAGGCCCAGATAAGTTCCTGTAGGTCCTTCAGTGAGTAAAGTTCCTTGAAAGGGTTCGAGAGAGACCAGCAAACCATGCACCATCCATGGAAAGTGGTCCCTACTGGAGTCTGGGGATGGAATTAAAGGTGGTATCTTGTGTTTCACAGTTTTGGCATCCATTGGGTGCAAGGCTTGCAACAAGATTGTAAGATTGCCATTTATGTTGGAGAGGGGCTCTTTCTAGACCAGCAGATAATAAAATGAGAGGACCAAAGAAGGAAATAACATGTAGATCTGTTGTTTCATGAAGATCCAAAAAATGAAGATGCTTGCTGGAGCAATGATCAGGAGAACTGTTGGTTTTCTCAGTAAGACCGGAGTGGGCAGAGTGTCATTCTGTGGGATCAGCAAAACTGAAACTGAGGGTGTCTGGGAAGAATGCTAAGCAGAGTTGTGACACATCCAACTGCACTGGAGGATTTTTAGGTGAAGGGTATGGAGACCTTGAGGTTAGAACCTTATTCTAAAACACTCCTGTATATTTTTTCTCATGGGGAGCCACGAGCTGGTCTGAAATGGAATTATTTTACTGATAAACAGAAAAAAGTTCTTTCTCCCTTAGGGGCAGACGTGCCTGAAAGTCATGTGTTATTAGGTATTAGAGCATTGGCATCATATAATTTCATTTACACAGCAAACTCTTATTACATGGCCCCAGAATTAGTCAAAATAAAGGAATTCAAAAACAATTAGGACCTTTTTTCCTCAAGTGTCTAAAATCTAATTGGAAAGATGGAAAAACCAGAGAAGCAGAGGAAACAGCCAAAGCCAGCATTTGCTTATATTTTTAGGATGACAAAAAAACAACACAAGGGGCCGGTGCCTAGGCTCAGTTGGTTAATCCTCCGCCTGTGGTTCCACCATCCCATATGGGTGCCGGATTCTGTCCCAGTTGTTCCTCTTCCAGTCCAGCTCTCTGCTGTGGCCCAGGAGTGCAGTGGAGGATGGCCCAGGTGCTTGGGCCCCTGCGCCTGCATTGGAGACCAGGAGGAAGCACCTGGCTCCTGGCTTTGGATTGGCACAGCACTGGCTGTGGCGGCCATTTCGGGGGTGAACCAATGGCAAAGGAAGACCTTTCTCTCTGTCTCTCTCTCACTGTCTAGCTCTGTCAAATAAATTTAAAAACAATTTAAAAAAACCCACAAAAACATAGGGCTCCAAACCACAGGACCCAAATTGTCTCTTCCTTTTTTTTTTTTTTTTTTTTTTTTTTTGGACAGGCAGAATGGAGAGAGAGACAGAGAGACAGAGAGAAAGGTCTTCCTTTGCCGTTGGTTCACGCTCCAATGGCAGGAGCCAGGTGCTTCTCCTGGTCTCCCATGGGGTGCAGGGCCCAAGCACCTGGGCCATCCTCCACTGCACTCCCTGGCCACAGCAGACAGCTGGCCTGGAAGAGGGGCAACCGGGACAGAATCCAGCGCCCCGACGGGGACTAGAACCCGGTGTACCAGCGCCGCAAGGCGGAGGACTAGCCTAGTGAGCCACGGCACCGGCCCCAAATTGTCTCTTCTAACTCCTTCTTTTAGGAAGTGAGGGAATTGAGGTCTAGTCCCAATAGTGAAGAGGCCAGTACCCCAATTCCCAGGAAAATCCTTTCTCCTCAACTCTGTGACACTAAAAGTGGCACAGCTACAATGTGTGACACAGTACCAGAGGGCCTGTGGGTGGTAGTGAGACTCTAGTCCCGGAAGACTTCCTATAGCTAAGTCTTGGGCAAGATTTGGAACTAAATTGAACTAGATTGGTGGAGAAGAGGTATAAGGTGTTTTGAGGTTGGAAAACTGGATCAAGTAACGCATACATGACTAGGCAAGCTGGGTTCCAGTAACTCAGTAGACCACCTTCACCTCCAAAGTTGCCTCTTTTGATCACCTAAAAATTGCTCACTTTAGTCCCTTTACTAGCTTTAACTAGGATATTGATATAATGGTTATAGCTTAAGACTTGGCAAGTTGGTACCCAAATTCTAAGTTAGTAAGCTCATCTCATCCATCTTACTCTCCTTAAAGGCAAGGCTTTGGTCAATGTCAATGAAATTGACTGTTGGAATCCTTAGAACTCCTGACAACCTCCAGGCTCTTTACAAAAGACTCCTCTTGATTGATTTAAAGAACCAATCATGTAAAACTAAGGAAGTTCTAAAGTATTTTCTTATGATAGGATTGCTTATTAAAGCAGGAATTCCAGACATAGAATATTGTCCCCACTGCCTGGGACTGAACAGCGTTTATAAAAAGGTATCTAAAAATGTTGAACTCGTAGAGGAGATGGGAGCCAACCAGTGAGGTGAGTTGGTTGAAGCATTAGACATGGAAAACACTGCATCAAGAAAAGACACTAAGGGGTGTATGTTGGGGAAAGCAGGAGTCATTCATTTATTCTCTCTCTCCTCTGTCTAAATCATAAGTAATTCTTTCATTCCTAGATTTTTTTTTTTTAATTTCAGAGGCAGAGAAAGAGATAGAGAGAGCTCTCACT